GCTCTCAAGTTGCAGTTGGGGAGGTTTAGGTTGGATATTAGGAAAAACTTTTTCACTAGGAGGGTGGTGAAGCACTGTAATGGGTTACCTAGGGAGGTGATGGAATCTCCTTCCTTAGTGGTTTTTAAGGGCAGCTTGACAAAGCCCTGGCTGGGATGATTTAGTTGGGAATTGGTCCTGCTTTGAGCAGGGGGTTGGACTAGATGACCTCCTGAGGTCCCTTCCAACCCTGATATTCTATGATTCTATGATCAGTGATCCATGAAAATCCCTGCCTACCAGGATCCTGGGCAGAGCTGGGAAGAGGTCCCATATTTCTTGGGTCCCTAATGTCTAACCTCCTTGCTGCAGATTAAGCCCATTACTTCTTGTCCTGCCTTCAGTGGACATGGAGAACAATTGATCTGCATCCTCTTTATAACAGCCCTTCACATATTTGAAGACTGTTATCAGGTCCCACCACTCCTTGGCACCTCTGAAAGGCAATACTTCCCCACTTGCAAGCACAGAGTCTGAGTGTAGAAAAGAAACTTTTAATGAAAGGCGGGAAGTGACCTGACATTAATTAGGGAAAATACCACAAGCAGGATTCAGAATCATAAAACTGTGAGCAGGACACACACCCCAGTGACCGTGGGGCAGTGTCTCCTAACTCATGTTCTTGAGTTCTACAACCAGAAGTTCCTTTACTGTTGACTCTCTCTGCTCTGTCACCACACCCCACTCAGAGTGGTTGTCCTTGGTCAGTGAGGACGCAGGGTTCAGAGGTGCATCTGTGTGAGTTCACCTCCCACTTGGGGAAAAAGGCACCTTGCTTGCTCCGCCATCTGAGCACTTGTTTTCCCTGGCTGCAATGCCAGCCACCGTTCTGCTCCACTGGCCACCCCACCAAACACTTGTTACTCTGCTGGCCACCCCACCAGCCACCATTCTGCTGGCTACCCTGCCACCCACCTTTCCTCTCTGCTGGCTGCCTAACCAGTTCCTGCCATCCATCCTCACTCAGTGATTGTCAGCTCTTAATGGGGGAACCTGAAACAGGCTGGGGAGAAACGCTGCCCCACCACAAGTGATTTCAACTCTAGTGAGCACTTAACAAAACAAAAGACTCCTAATGGAGCCTATTTAGCTCTATCTTTGAAGAGTGGGGAGGAACAGGTTAAATCAGACCAGGGACCCTTAGGCAGAAGCCACATCTCATGGCAGGGGCACCTGTCCCCATCCCCTCTGACTGTCACAGGGGTCTGGCATTTGAGCCCCTGGCTTAGAGAGTTCCCTTCAGCTGAGGGTGACCCCCTCAATCAGGACAGGCTAAGCAAAGTTCTGTTCCCTTTCCTCATACAATAAAGATAATAACACAGATAACAACATTTCACTACACCTGCACTCAGTACTAAAGTGATTTGAAAACCAACACCAGCCAAAGTTGATCACTTTGAGTGACACAGCTTCTGTCTGCCGGATACGTAGGCAGAGTAGGTATGTTCATGTACATACAGCTTGCTCCTGAAGTCTCTCCCCCTCTCAACTAGCTGTCAGGGGTGAGCTCATTCAGACCCTGCTTACACAGGTATCAAAGTTAGGCTGACTGGTCTATAATTCCTAGGTCCTCTTTGGTCCTCTTTTTAAAGATAAGTACTATGTTCACTCTTCTCCAGGCCTCTGGGACCTCACCTGTCCTCCAGAGGTTCTTGAAGATAATTGCTAACGGTTCTGAGATTGCTTCAGCTAGTTCCTTAAGTACCCTAGGAGGAATTTCATCAGGCACTGCTAAGTTGAGTACATCTAACTTATCTAAATATTCTTTAAACCGTTCTTACCCTATTTTGGCTTCTGTTCCTTCCTCCTTGCTAATATTAATTATATAGAGTATTTGGTCTAGTGGTTACAGCAGGGGGCTAGGAGCCAGGACTCCTGGGTTCTATTCCTGGCTCTGCTCTGTCATTAGCCCTCTGCTGCTGCACAGTCATAGCTCCCAGCTGTAGCGTGTCACAGAGGCTGCCACATCCCCTTCGCATGAAACCCTCCCGCTATGGTTGTGGTTATCAGGGCTGAGGGCTGGTCTGCCCAGCCCCAGCCTGCTCACAGCTGGGCCACTGTGAGAAAGATCAAAGGGCCATGTTCTCACCCGCTACTGAGATCCGTCAGTGTCAGCCACAGACCCCTCCACAGAGACACAGGCAGGGAGTTGAGCAAGGAAGGGGCCAGGTGAGTAAGAGCCTCAGATGTGCCCAGCTGTGAGCCAGCACCCAGAGAAGCCCTGAATCCTGATAGACCTGTCCCCACTGGGGTCTTCTCCGTCCAGTGGTGCAACATCCAGCCGTGCTGGGACCCAGCTGCTGAGTTGACGCGTGGCCTATCCTCCTCCCCAGCCCATGTGGTTGGTGTGGCTGGAAACTGAGACGCATGAGCCCCACATTCAGATGAGTGTGTGGGCGACACTGAGGTTTCCTCCCTTCCATCTTCCCCCAGCTGAGTCTATAAAGCCCCCAGGCCTGAGGCCAATGCACCGTCCCTGCACTGACTCTGAACATGCAGCTCCAGATCTTGCTCCTGCTCCCCATGGCCTTTCTCCTGCCCCCCGGGGCTCAGGCTGGTGAGTACAGCTGGGATCGGGGCCGACTGGGGCTTTGGGGGCAAATGGGGGGTCTGAGGGATGGGGATGCTGTGGTCGGTGTCTAGGGACCCGCTGGGGTAAATGGGGGGGAGGGGGATCTCAAGATCTGGATTGATGCAGGCGAGGGCTGGACAGCTGTGCACATCTGGGGAGTGGGGTTGCAAGCACTGTGGTGACAAAACTCCTTCTGCTGCTGTGTTTCATCTGCGCCTGCTCTAATCCCTCACCTCATCTCTCCCTGGGGTTGCAGGGGAGATCATTGGGGGCCGGGAAGCCAAACCACATTCCCGCCCCTACATGGCCTATCTCCAGAGAAAAACCTGCAAGGGTGAAGAGAAGTGTGGGGGGTTCCTGGTGCGGGAGGATTTTGTGCTGACAGCCGCCCACTGCGCTGATGGGTAAGAAGAGCCTGTCTCTGCGCTCTGGTGTCTCCCCAAACCCGGGACCCAGCTGTGCAGGGATCCAACCATGCAGCACCCTGAGATGTTCAGGGATCCAGCCACGCAGCGTCCATTGGGCTGTGCAGGGCTCCTTTTGTGCAGGGATCCAGCTGGGCAGCAGCCCCCCCCGTTACTTTAATGTTTTCTGTGTGAAAGGCAAACAGAAGACTATCGACCTTCAGACCAATAACTGGATCATTCATATTCATAATTTAATACATTACAATTCATTTAATTTGTTCAATATCAGTTAAGTCGTTATTTAGTATCTCCATCATGGTGGCATTTGAGGGCAGGTCTCCAGCTGGTGTTCTCCAGGGGGCCAGACTAGACAATCACATGGTCCCTCCTGGCCTTGGAATCTAGGAAACTCAAGGAGCTGACTGAGATCAGAGCCCCTGTTGTGCCAGGCACTGCACAGACCCCGACCGAGATGGGTGAGCTAAGAGTAAGAGAAAGAGACAGATGACAATTGTCATGGGGGAGCAACCCCATACTGAGCCTCCACCCCACTCCCTGCAGCAGGGCACCCCCACTGAGCCCCCCGTCCTACCCACTACTGCACGGCGCTCCCTTGCACCACGCAGGGGTTAGCACTGCCTCCAAGGACCTCCAGTTCTAGCCCAATCTCCGTGTGGCTTCCAGGGACATCACCGTGCTCCTCGGAGCCCACAACGTCCGTCGGGAGGAGGAGACCCAGCAACGAGTCTCTGTGCGGCGGAAGATCCCCCATCCCAGATACAACAAGACGAGCATCGAGAACGACCTGATGCTGCTGCAGGTACCTGCCCCCCGCAGTCCCCAGCGCCCACCCTGGCCTGGCCCCCATCCGGGCAGTGCGCTGACCCCTTTGCCCTCCCCCCATTGCAGCTGGCGGAGCCGGCGGAGCTGACCGATGCCATATACACCATCCCGCTGCCCCAGGCTGGCCGCACTGTGGATTCAGGTTCCGTGTGCAGCGTGGCAGGATGGGGCAAAACCAACCGCTACACAAGCACCAGCATCCTCCACGAGGTGGAGCTGGAGGTGATGTCAGACGAGACCTGCCAGGAGGACAGGCAACTCCGACACAACTACAAGCCCTCAAAGATGATGTGTGTGGGGGAACCTGATGAGGACAAGGCCTCGTTCTCGGTAAAGGCCCAGTCCCTGGGGGGTGGCTGGGCTGGGAGCTTCCCCATGAGCCAAGGGAGTTAGGGGATCAGTTAGGGTGACCTTCAATAGGAAACACTGAAATTGGGATCTGTCTATCTGTCTGTCTGTCCATCCCCATACTCTATCTATCTATCTACCTATCTAGCCAGGTGGGGCAGTGGGGAATTACAATCCCTGCTATAGAGCAGCTCAGAAAGGACAGGTGAGTGCTATGCTTTGAGCTCGTATTCACCCTCTACCTGTTTTGATTTCTCAGGGCGATTCCGGGGGCCCCCTGGTGTGTGATGAGGTTGCCCACGGCATCGTCTCCTTTGGCAAGAAGAATGGGTCCCCACCGAGGGTGTTCACCAGGATCTCCGCATACGTCCCCTGGATCAAGAAAACAATGAGGGGTCTCAGCAGCCCAGGGTCCTATGCTGAAAGCCCTGCGTCCCTTCGTTGAAGGGGGCAGAATTGGGTTTGGGGAATTCCGAATACAAAGGAGTCCCTCCCACCCCCACCCAGAACAGTGGTGCCAAGCCCAATGGGTGCTTGAATAAAAGCCCAGCTTCTTACTCCCACTGTGTAATAAAATCCTACATGAGAAGAGACTCTTTGGGGGACCATTGTCTGTCTGTATTTTGGAGCCCCCTGAGGGTGAGTGTCCTGCACTGCTGTCCTGGATGCCTGGGTCCCATCCCATGTCCCAGTCTCTGCCTCCCAGGGAATGGGAGCTCTAGGGCCCCTTAGGGGTGAGTGCCCTGCACTGCTTTCCCAGACACCTGGGTCCCAGTCTCTGTACTGCATTTGCCTTGCACAATCCGCAGCACTTCTCCTGCCTGACTCCCTGCCACCAATTTTAAAAGGTAGGACCGAATTTTATCCCCCTGCCTTTCCACTCCCCACACACCTACACATGAAGGTTCACGAAGGGCAGCATTACCTCGGCCTCAGCCATGTACCCCGCAGGACAAGCTGGGAGCTGGGTGTGATGAATGTGGGATTATTAGTCATGGTTTTATGATGCCTGGTCAGCCTCAGTTTCCCCTCTGTGCTTTGCGTTGCTGGGCATGGAGGTTAAAGGGTTAAAAAGCTGCTCTTGGGATAGAGCAGAAGCCACGAGGTGCTGGGACATGTCACCATCTGGGGGTGGCATGAATGGGTCATTAACAACTGGCTGAACCCGACCCAGATCACTGGAGGAGCTGGAAAGCCAATGGGAGTTCCACACACTAAAGATGGGAAATGCTGGCAGGAGGACAATGGCCCAGATGTGCTGGGTGGCTGGGGAGAGAGCCAACGCAGTGGCAGAGGCGGTCAAAAAAGCAAACAGGATGTTAGGAATCATTAAAAAGGGGATAGAGAATAAGACTGGGAATATATTATTGCCCTTATATAAATCAGTGGTACGCCCTCATCTCGAATACTGCGTACAGAT